TCTGGATCCCTCCTGCCTTTGCTCTTAGTGGCCACTCCTGGCATGCCCTCCCCTTCCCGCTCCAGAACCCACCGACAATTTCCGTTTCTGTTTCTCTGCAGCCCTGCCTAGCGCTCTAGGCCTATTTTGATCTGTGTCTCTCTGTCTCTAAATGTCTCTTGGTCAGCGCTTCTGTCTCTTGGCCTCTCCTCGCAGCTCTATCTCTGACATTTCTCTATTCAGCTCCGTCTGTCTCTCTGGGCCCCTTCATCTACCACAGGCATTCCGCTTTGGTTCTCTCTGCCCACCCTTCTCTCTGTCACCTCTTTCTCACATCCTCTCTTTCCATTTGCCTGTTCTCTCCCCCTCTGTCTGTCTCTTCCTCCCTCCTTTCTCTGCTTGTCTGTCTCTCTCAAACACTCACACTTTGGCAGAAGAAAACAATACTGCAGGGGTATCTTTTTTTTACATTTTGGACACAGCTAGGGGGAGGTGCAGAGAGAATGTCAGATGTTTGCACATCTCTCTGGGTTTCATACGCAGGGGGAACTTCTGCACACCTTCACCATCTCCTCTCACCTGCTTCCCCATCCAGTGCCTGGAGAATCCTCTCTCCTTTCCAAACTCACCCCTTTCCTGTGAGTTTGGCAGCCCCTCTTCCAGGAAGGCCTCACCGATTGATGCTCCTTAGGCCTTTAACACACACACCCAGGCTCTGGCCCCCTGCTGGGCTCGCTGCTCTCTCCAGGTGGGGTGGGCATAAAGGAACCCCTCCCTGGTTCTGTACAGTCTGGATGCCCGGGAAAGGAACAGCTAGCACTCTGACCTGCCAGTGCTTGGTGACGGCATTCCACACCCCAATGCGCCCCGTGTGGCTTGTAGCGATGAGCTGGTTCCCTACAAAGAATAAGGCCTCCACAGGAACCCCCAGATGGAAGACTCCTGTCGAGAGAAAGGAGCGCTCAGCCAGGGCCCTGCTTCACAGGTGAGAAGGGGCATGGCAGGAAGAGGTCGGAGGGCCAGAGGAGTGAGCTGGCCATAGGATCCTTACAGGATGGAGGATTCCAGAAGGAATTACGGGGATTCTCCTGAGGATTGAGACTTGTTAGGGAACAGATTAGTTAACAAGTCAGAAATTTCTAATGGGAACACAGTCTCACAGGCTTGGGATTCCACTGGCATGAAGAATTCCAACAAAGTGAAGAAATCTATCAGGGCAGTGAATTCTGACAGAAGACAGAATAGCACGTGGGTGGATTTTTCTACCAGGTCAAGGAATTCCAGTGGAATACAGAATTCTAAAGGGTTGGAGCACCCTAATAATGCAAAGAATTCCTAAGGGCATAAGAACTGTATAGTGGGGCTTTTTTTTTTTTTTTAACAGGCCACAGTGCTAATGGGGCAGAAAAATCTAACAGACCATAGGTGGGAAGAGAATTCTGCAGGGCAGAGGCTTCTGGTGCCATACCTATCTCAGATCCACTGCCTTCTGCCTGCAGAGCCCATAGAAGGATCTCGCTGCCCGTGGCCGCTGCCACCATCTTGTCATGCTCACCCAAAGCCCCACCAAGTACCCTGGCTGTGAGTGCCAGTCGCTCGATGGGCCAGTCCAGGCGGGGACTGGAAAACACCAGCTGCCAGCCAGAGGCTTCCTTCAGCCTGCAGGATTGGGGGGCATCATCAACCCTCACCCCAAGCCCTCCCCGTCAACAGGCTCAAAGCCTCCTGCCACCGCCCTCCCCAAGCACCTGTAGCAGACAAGAAACTGCGTATAGGCCACAGCGATCCAGTTGTGGTGTCCACATACTAGGCGCACCATCCCTGGCTCCTCCGGCAGCCCTTAGAGGGGAGAGCAAGGATCAGGGTAGGGTCACCAGGGCCCCACTGGCTGTCCCAGCCTCCCAGGAGACAGAAGCATACCGGATGGGGAGGGAGGGGCTTTCTCATCTAGCATTCGGCCCAGCAACCCCGCGTTGCCCAGGTTGGGGGGCATGGTGTTGCTCCTTCGAACAGGCGCTGGCCGTCCCCCTGCCTGCTGGGGCCCCACCAGGCTGTGCCGGTTCCGTCGCTTCATTGGGAACACTATGGCAGGGAGAAGGACAGAGTGACAATAACTGTAGTAACTGTAATAAAGGCCACTTGGCAAGCCCTCAGGGTGTGGCTGATACTGATTTCCCACGTGAGGAACAGTCTTCTGACGAAAAGAATTTAGGTGGTAACGGGGACACGGCATTAAGTGAAACTGAATCACATAGCAAGTTACTCCCGTTTCAGTTTCTTTCATCCCATCACAAATGAAGAATCAGTTTGGTGATGCCATCATATTGATTTTCTCCAATATCTGCTAATCTTCCCTTTTTAAAAATGGAAGCCTGTTCCCTTGGTAGACAACAGCATCTAACCAGAGTTTAATAACATTTTATGTTTGGACCTTATCTTCACATTTACTTATGGTGTCAAGGCAGTGATATAAAGCTTCTATTTAAAATAAATTTTTACAAAACAGGGTAAAGTGAAGTTAAGAAAACAATAGTATAGGTTTTCATATTTGGCAAACTTCATTAAGGTAGTAGGTATTGACTGAGGTTAGGGAAATAAAGCCATAAATTGAATTTCCCCACTCATTTCCTTCTACCAATCAGCAAAGTTTAATGGACTACAGTTCCCAATAACCATGTGTTCCATGGCCAGTGGGCTGGTTGTACCAAGGGCTAATGGAGATGAGTTAATAAATCCCCTTTAATAGTTCTCCCCTGCATGCAAAGGACCCAGTTCTTCCTAAACCTTCCCACACAAAAAATCAAACCTGGACCACAACGCCCATCGCACTCCAGCGCATGCGATAGAGCCTCAAGAGGTCCTATGGCTTCACTGGAAATGCTGTTTCCTACTTCCTTTCTCAGCATCATGCCAAGCATCTGATAGAGAACTACAACTCCCATAGTGTCTCAGGGTTCACAGCACGGACACCCAAGCGCTGCAGCCTTACGGGAAATGTAGTCTTTATTCTAGTCACCCATCCCTTAGCAGTGCCCACCTGGTGGAGGCAGGTAACCATTGAAGAGAACGTTTCCACAAGAAGATCGATCCAACTCTTCCCGCAGCTGCAGGCGGCGAACTGAGGCAGAAGGACTTGAGGATGAGACTTGGGGATACTGAGGCCAATTCCTCCCTCCTTCCCCACCTTTCTCCAAAGAATACCACCGCTCCCCTGAAACCCAGGACCCAATAAATCCAGTGCTGTCAGCTCTGACCCAACCTTCTTTCCGGAGAGAGAGAGATGAGGGAGCTCACTAGAGAGCTGGTTTTCTATGCAATTAGGACGCTAATGGGGCCCCCACTTACCCAGAGGAGTGAGCCCATAGAACTGGGCTTCGTGGAGGAGGCTGGAACCGTGGACACCCCTGGGTAGTAGAAATGACTAGGGGTTAGTGTCTGGGTAGTGAGAGTGGGCAGAGAGTCCTAAGGAGAGTTTTCAAAACTGCACAGAGAATTCCAAGAGGTGGCAAAATTTGACAGGTGAAAGTGTGTGTGTGTGTGTGTGGGGGATTTTAAAGACATAATTTAAATATGATTAAGGGGCTTAAGCGAACATTCTGAAGGGAAAAAGAGATTTCTCGATGGGGGGACGGTGGGGGACTACCCTTTACCCTCCATGCCAACCTGGGGTCCAACTCTTTGGTGCGCAGGAAGTTGAGGATGGGGGCGAAAACGGTGGGGTCCCTGTCGATGAAGATCTGCGGGGAAGGGGTGCAGAAAATGGATGGTGCAAAGAGTGGGGCTGCGTGGAGATCCTGCCCCTCCTACCCGCCGCCCCACTTCAGGTCTCGCCCTACTCACGGCTCCGGTCTCATCTTTCAAAGTCGAGATGCGTCCGCTCAGGAGACTGCAGGGAGGGGACACAGCGCAGGTGTCACGGGCCCGGGTGTGTGCTTGCGGGGCGAGGGGGTTCGGTGCCCCTCTACCTCCTCCTCACGCCCCACACCCCCGCCCCTAACTCGCTCTCCCCTTCACCTGGAGAAGAAGGAGTCTGGGATCCAGGTGAGAGTCTGACGGGAGGTACTAAATCTGTGCGGGGAATGTGAGCGGATGCGAGATGATGTAGGGAGGGTGAGGTTCACTGCCCCCCACCCGTACCCAGTGGATTCCCTCCCCTCCCAGGGCGCCAGTCGGGGCTCCCGCGCCTCCCGAGGGGGCGGAGCAATCCTTGCGGACCGGATTCCCCGGGGGAGGCGAGTGCTCCAGCCCCGCTCCCCGCCCCCGAGCGTGAGGCCTCCGGAGTCTCCTACACTCACCTCTTGCCTCCCACGTTCAGATGAATCACCTCCCCCGGAGGTCCCCGGCCTGGGAACCCCTCCGCTGCAGGCGCGGCGGCTGCCATGGCCCCGGGCGAGCCGGCCGCCCAAGCACCTACTTCCGGGTGTACCTCCGACCCCGCCCCCACCGCGTGCTCATTGGGCTAGAAACTCCCGGAGACGTTGGCGATTGGACAAAGCACTCATCCGTCGCAGTTAAATTCTCCGCCTTCTTAAAGGAGCCCACCTTTCCTGTCCTGGATGGGGTGGAACTTGGCAGCTCCATGGGGAAGTTTAGTTAGGAGGGTTAGCAACACGTTCCTCCACCTCTCCGGGGTTCCCATTTTTGGAATGGCATCTAGGTGCTTTGTCCGGGGCACGTGCTTAGACCCCCCCAAAATGAGTCCACACAAGGGGGACACATTTACATGTTCTATGCAGCTCGCAGCGGTTCTCAACCTGTGGGTCGCGACCCCTTTGGCGGTCGAACGACCCTTTCACTGGGGTCGCCTAAGACCATCCTGCATATTAGATATCTACATTACGATTCATAACAGTAGCAACATTACAGTTATGAAGTAGCAACGAAAATAATTTTATGGTTGGGTCACAACATGAGGAACTGTATTTAAAGGGCCAGAAGGTTGAGAACCACTGTCAGCTAGTCTTTCCCCTCTATCCTCCCAGGCTTCAGCCCGTGGAACGCGAACAAACCGGCAAGGACCGTCAAAGCCAAAAGATTTATTATAGGTACATACAGTATGCATCTGCCACACCGCCCCACACTCCCGGGCCCCAGTGGCGCCTCCAGGCGGTCGTGGGGGTGGGGGGCGGCCCACAACCCGGTTCCCTCACCCCCTGGGAGGAGCTCCAGCCTGGAGCATGCAGGGAGAGGGCTTCCCCTCGCCCTTCCCTCGCCAAGTGGCATTTACAGCTGGAGGGGGAGGAGAGAGGAAGACAGTTTTGAGCTTTGACGTCCCTCCCATTAAAAGCCTTCGCGGATGCGGGGCGGGGGGAGGGGGGGCGAGGGCGGGGAGGAGGTCGACGTTTTGCAAAAATAAACTAAGTCAGGAATGAACCGCATGGCTCTGAGGCGGCGGAGTACGGGGTCTAGGGCCCCTTCACTCCGCCTCCCCAGACGAAGATCAAGGCAGCATTGGAAGTGAGGTAAAGGCGGGGAGGGCGTGTTCCCTCCCCGCCCCCTAGCACCCTGGATGGTCCAGGGGACCTCACCAGCGCCCCCATGCCCATACCTAGGGCGGAGAGGGGGGCAGGACTTATCGCCCCTCCCACTCCAGCTTCTTGGGGCAGGATCTGGGTATCCGGGCAGGGGCTTGGCTCAACGGGCCCCTTACCCGCTCCCCCAAGCTCAGTTATTGCATAAAAATAATGGAGCCCCAGCACCTGGGGTGGGGGTGGCGAGCGGGAAGGGGCCGAGATATGGCTATAGGGGCAGCAATCTCCCCACCACTTTTTGGGGTGCAGGAGAAGTCCCCTCCTTTCCAGTGCCCGTCATGGCGCGTCCGTCCGCAGTGTTGGTGAAACTGGGGGCTCCAGCCCCTGCGGAAGAGAAAGTGTCTTTGTGCCCACAGTGCGGAGAGGAGGGGCGGGAGTGGTGTCAGGCCGTGGGGGTGGGAAGTCACTTCCGGCGCCCGCTGGCCCTGCGGTCCCCCGTCTCCCTCTTGGGGTTGCCCTCGTCTGTGGACGACGTGGTCGGTAGTGTCTGTCCCCAGCGGGCGATCTCGGTGTGCTCCGCCACAGAGGCGGCTACTGCCTCCAGCCAGCCATTCATCTCCTCCTGAAAAGGGACACAGAGTCCGCATTTGGAATACAGGAGGCTGATTAGTATCAGCAGACACTTACAGCACGGTAATAATATTAGTAGACACCTATAGAGAGAGCACTTACAGGCCCTGTACGTACTGTGCATGATCAATTTATGTAATTCTCACAATCACCCTATGATAAAAAGCTATTTTTATCTCCATTTATATTTTTATTTTTTAAAGGAAAAATGCAGACTGTGTTTCATTAGAATGTCAGGATGAATTTATCTCCATTTTAAAGATAAGTAAAGGAGTCATGGAGAGAATCAAGGCCTATTTCATAGTCTCTTATGAAGATGAAATAAGAAGTGTTATGTTCAACATCTTTTCAACCCACCTCCATGCCTGCTCCTGCTTCCCTGACCTTTCCCCTCGGTCCAGTCCCAAGGTCCACTCACGTTCCTGTCTTTCTCACCCACCTCCTCCTCCTCCCTTTCCCACAGGCCTGCCCAGGTCCAGCCTGTGCTCTCCCCACTTGAGTCCCTGCCCTGGCCGCCTCCTGGGCTCCACACCTCCACTCTTGCCCTGTCTGATCTACCTGCATAAGGTAGCCAAAGGGATCTCTCTTGTGCACCCCAGTAACCCTCCCTTGCTCAAAACTCTGCCAAGGCTTCCCAGTGCCTTTAGGACAAACACAATCTCCTCTGGCCCACACGATCCAGGCCCTCGGACCCTTCTTCCTTGAACTTTCCTCAAGAACAATTAATGCTTTGCAATTCTGCACCTCCAGTTCTTTGTACTTGTTGTTTCTCTACCTATATCTTCTCCCTCACCTTTTTTTAGCTAACTCCCTCCTCTTATCTTTCCAGTCTCACCTCATAGGTGAGGCAAGGGGTTGGACTTTGTCCTGAGAACTCACTCATTGCCCCCCTGGCTATGTTAGAAACTTCTGGGCTTTCTGTGTCCATGGGCTTTCCCATTACAGCCCTGGTAATTCTGGTTTGTGCTTCCCTCTCACAGTCCATCACTCTGGAATGGGGACCAGCCAGACAGGTGGTGCCTGAGATCCAAGTCAGGGAGAGAAAGAACCATATCTCACCTCATCTTTAGCCTGGAGCAAAAACTCGCTGCCATCCTGGGTCCTGCAGGAGGAAACACAGGACTGTGGGATCTGGGGCAGGGGTATACCCATCCTTCTAAACGTTTTTCAGGGGAGCAGGGGATTGCTGGGAGGGGGCAGCTGGGACTTGAATCTCTCCCTCTTGCCCATGGCGGGGAAGGGGGCTCACTGGAGCTTGAAAACGTGCTTCTTCTTCTTGTAGTCACTAGCCACCTCGCTGATGGCCTTGTGCAGGCTGAGCAGTGGCTCCCCACCGTGCGTGCCCCCAGATGCTGGGCCTTTGGCGTCCTTGTAGAAGCCCAGCTCCCCCTTGCTGAGCACGCAGTACAGACTCACCCACGACCTGGGGCAATGAGAAATGCTCAAGGCAGAGTTGCAGCACTCTGCCTGGGCACTCTTCATCAATAGCTTTCATGTGCTGAATCCCTTGGAGCCTTTCCTCTACTAGGGCCACAGGCCTTGGGTGTTCCTGAGCTGAGGTCAGGGTCTAAGTCTCTCAATACCCTGTCTTTGCCCAGGCTGGCACTGCTGAGGTTGCCCTTCTGAATCCGCTCTCACATTGAATTTCTAGAAGACAAGACTTAAGCTGTCTCCTCTATAAGCCTTTTGCTTGGGCATGTTCCTCGCCAATCCTCTACCTCCCAAGGAATCACCTGAAAGGAGAACTATTGGTCTACTGCCTGAAAAGAGGAATTAGTCTCCTCATTCAGCCAAAGCCTCAATCGAGGAGAAGCAACCCATTTATTCCCACCTTGGCCTCAGCACAAAAAAAAGAAAGACTACCTGAGACCACAGGCGATCTCAATCTGTTTGCTCATTTCATGCCATGACCTAGACTTCACTCTGCTCGATGGCCAGGCTACCCTTTCGGCTTCCCCTCTTCCCAGATTCTGCCTCCCATTAGACAGAAAAGGGTTGGACAACCAGAACTGGACTTCAAGAGTTTGGGCTCGGGACCTTCTCAAATCTTCCCCCAACTTTAAACTTCGAGGGTGGACCCACCCATTCATTGGTTGGATGGACCTCTCCGGGCCCCACCTCACAAGTCATTGAAACCCTCTCCAGCGGTTCTCAACCTGTGGGTCGCGACCCCTTTGGCGGTCGAATGGCCAGTGCCGTTCATGCCATGATCTAGACTTCACTCTGCTCGATGGCCAGTGCCGTTCATGCCATGATCTAGCTTCACTCTGCTCGATGGCCAGGCTACCCTTTCGGCTTCCCCTCTTCCCAGATTCTGCCTCCCATTAGACAGAAAAGGGTTGGACAACCAGAACTGGACTTCAAGAGTTTGGGCTCGGGACCTTCTCAAATCTTCCCCCAACTTTAAACTTCGAGGGTGGACCCACCCATTCATTGGTTGGATGGACCTCTCCGGGCCCCACCTCACAAGTCATTGAAACCCTCTCCAGCGGTTCTCAACCTGTGGGTCGCGACCCCTTTGGCGGTCGAACGACCCTTTCACAGGGGTCGGCTAAGACCATCCTGCATATCAGATATTTACATTACGATTCATAACAGTAGCAACATTACAGTTATGAAGTAGCAACAAAAATAATTTTATGGTTGGGTCACAACATGAGGAACTGTATTGAAAGGGCCAGAAGGTTGAGAACCACTGCACTAGACTTAGACCCCACATCCAATTTGTTGTCAGCTTTAACAAACTCCTGGTTTGATTGCTATGAGATTGGGTCGCAATTTATTCCATTTTGGAGCATTTTCTTCAGGTCCCGCCCCCTCTAAGCTCCACCCGCTCACTCATTGGCCACACTAACTATAGGTCTCCTCTTAAGGTCCTGCCCACCCCGCCACCGGTTGGACGCTCTGACATTTAGCCCCACCCTCCCGCCTTGCGCCCGCCTCTTCACTCATTGGTCACCCTGAACTTGGGACCCGCCTTCAAAAGCCCCGCCCACACGCTCACCGGTTGGATGACTTGCGGTTAGCGTCGACCTCGCGCTTGCGCAGCAGGAAGCCCTCGTGCTGCAAAAAACCGTTCCGGCGGCTCAAGTCCGTTGGGCAGGCGGCCGGGGGGAAGTTCGCGAGGCTGAGGCAGCGACGTCTGTGTGAAGGGAGCGGGAGAGGGTGCTGTCCAGAGTGGGCGGTGGGGGCCCCCTGTCCGGGGCCTTCACGGGTCTGGGGCCCCATCTGAGCGCAGGGCCGAGTGTCTTGGAGGCGCGTATGGGAGGACGTCAGGGCGGGAGGCCAGCTCCTGGGGCCCGCGGGCCTTGGGAAGAGTCTGCGAGGACTCCCGCGGGTTGGAGTTCCTTGGATCTTGGGGAGGAGGGGCATGAAGGCGGGTGCAGGCAGGGGGTGTCCCCGGTGTCTCTAGGGGGTCTAGGCTTCTCTCCGTGTGGCTGTCTACCAGGGCACTTGGGACCCCCGCTGGCAGGTGTGGGAGACTCTGGAGTGAGTGTAGGGGTAGGAGTAGGAATTAGGGGGCATCTCAGCCCCCTGAGAGCCTCTCTGCAGGGTTCAAATGGCGGGGGGGTGCCCAGGGCCAGGCACTGGTGTTTCCGGGACCCTGACCCGCGCTCTGAGTCGCCGCCATCCAAGGCTCCACTTACCCCCGCAGGGAGCCCTGGTCCCGCCTCTCTCTCCTGCAGCTGCTCCACAATGTCCGCCAGGGTGGCCTTCCTGGGGGCGGGGCAGAAAGACCGATGGGGCTCGTGCCTCCCTCCAGGACCCGCCTAGGGGCCGGACTGTCGCCGTCGCTCAGCCACGGAGGACGGAGCCTCTCCCCGCTTGGAGTTTTAAGCGACAGAACCAGCAACTTGCAAACGGGCCCTTTCCAGCCTTTGGACTTCCTGTGGCCTCTCCCCACCCGCTCCTGACTCCCAGGCCCCCGGCTCCCCATTCCGGCCCTGGCCACTCCGGTCCTCATCACTGTCTGGGGATGCGCTGGTTTCCCCCACGGGACGGCGAGCCCCACAGAAGCAAGGCGAGGGCTTCCTGGCGAAGGCACGCTTCATCCTGCTCTGCCCAGCACGTGCCACACACAGGGCAGGCGCTCAGCAAATGTTCACGGAATGCCAGCTTTAGGAAGGGGTGGAGAAGCCACGGCCACTGCCCCGGCGGGTCTGGCTCAGTGGGTAGAGCCTGGCCTGCGGACCAAAGGGTCCGAGTTCGATTCTGGGCAAGGGCACACGCCCAGGTTGCGGTCGGAAGGCAGCAGATGAATGATTTTTCTCTCATCATTGATGTTTCTCTCTCTCACTCTCCCTCTCTCTCTGAAATCAATAAAAATAAAGTTAAAAATCAAGTTATTGTCACTGAAATGTACAGTGGGGCCTTGACTTACGAGTGTCCCGACTAACGAGTTTTTTGAGATACCAGCTGTCTCTCCCCCGATTTTTTTGCATTGAGTTGATAGAGTAATTTGAGTTAACGAGCTCCTTAACGAGCTCGGTCTCGGAACGAATTAAACTCGTAAGTCAGGGCCCCACTGTATTTGACCCAAAGACCTCTTTCCGGGGACACAGCTGATGGGACTGATTCGCTAAAACACTGGTTAACTGTCCTTGGCTTCCGCGGTTGGAACCGAGGCTGCGGGACGAGGGCCGCCCCCTGCCCTCAGGCTCCGGCTCCATCTCCGCAGAATGGATGCCGTGGCTCTCCCTCCCAGGCAGGTCTCGGCAGGAAGCCGCTCCACTCTGCCTCG